CTAAAATCTATTAACATCAAAAGTTCTCAAATCTATAACATACCCTTCAAGTAATGACACCGGTACTTCAGCACCTATATCAAGTAATGGATTTCCTATACCAAAAATAGTTCCATCACTAAAATATAATTTATATTTGACTTTTTTGTTTTTAATTATTCAAAAAAAAAAAACAAATTATTTTTAACATACTCTAATTTTTCGTGGGTAGCCGATGCCATAAAAGTATATATCTAGAAAAGTAGTTAAAATTAAGAGAAGAAAACATACAAATAAAAGAAAACAAAAAAAAAAAGAACAATAACAATTTATTAAGAACGTATTGCTTTTCCTCCTACAATAAGTTTTTCTTTAAATTGAGATTCACATTCATACATTTGTTTTTCCAAATATGTTTTTGTTCCCTATTAAAAAAAAACCCAACAATCAATTATTTTTATTTCTAATAAATTTATTTTCATACTTGATGTTTTTTAACATCATTTTCACATGTTTTTATTTTCTTTTCAATTTGTTCACGAATATCAGATTTATTGTTTAAAACAAACCTTAACAAAACAAAAATTTCTTATTTTTATTTTAATTTAAGATAAATTATTGTTATTATTATTATCATACATTCGTCCAATTGAACAATACATTGGTGTATTTTCATCAAGTGTAGTAATTTCTTTATCAGTTATTTTTGAACGTTGAATTTCACGTTTAAGTTCTTCGATTTGTGTTGTTGATTTTTTTAATGATGTTTGAATGTCAATCATTTTCATTTGTAATTGACCTAACATCTAATGAAAAAAAAAAGAGGTCACTATATGTCTCTTTGACCTTCGTATTTATCAATCTTATATTTTATATATTTATTTAAAAAAAGATTTTATTTTATTTTTCTTCTATATTAAATAAAAACTTACTTTCTCAGTTTCTTCATCATGTGAATTAGAAGTCATATTTAGAAAGAATAATTTATTTTATACTAATAATAATCTAAAATAATAATAACAATGACATTGAAATTGATATAAGTAGAAAACATAATTTTGAACATATGAAAATTTATCATTAACAAATGATTTATAATAAAATATTGAAAATAATACAAAAAAAAAAAGAAATAACAATGAAAAATCAAATTAATAAACATGAATACATATTCATGTGTGTTAATTTAATGTGTTGTTCTGTTGTGATGTTAGACATTAGATGTAAGATTTGATTGGTTAGAAACTTCCATTCATAAATATTTTTGTTCCTTTATTCATAATATCTTCATCAATTAAATATCATTTTGAAGAGAAAATCGATTTGATTTCATTATATGAAAAAATCTTTATATCGAATGTATGAAAATAATGAAGATACAAACTGTTTCAAAACAGAAACTATGATCGAAGATGACATCTGTTGAATTCTAATTAGAAAAAAAAAATGCGAAGAATTGTCATATAGACAAGAGTTTCGGTAACGAAAATGAGAAATCCAACATATCGTTTATGTTAGAAACTAAAGAGATTAGATTTGAGTTTTTTTCCACTAATGAACATTGTCATAATATTTTGTTTCTATGCATTAAATAACGTTTATTTGTTGCCATTTAGTGATGGTACTCGTCAAGCGAACACTCATAAAGTGCTTACACTAGAAAATATCGTGAGAACTCATAAGTAATTGCGAGTTTTGAGTACTTGTACTAAAATCTGAATATCTAAATACAACAATTGATTAGTTCTTGAGCGCTTCTATATAATATTTGTGTACTCGGATGATTTATGTAAAATATGCATAAGCCTATGGTCTGTTCAGTATTTTCGTATTACATTCATTTTGTTTAGATATAAAACTAAATAACAAAAAATACAAATATATACATAATGAAAATTTGAGAAAGCTATGAATACGAGAACTACATTTTCGAGATGTTCATGACTACGGCAAGGGTAGATTTCCAACTGTGATCGACATTCCTACTACAACTATCAGTTTATAGAGAAATCTTCGTCGTTAACAAGGAATTGTAGAGTTATATGATTACTAATTTCGTATAATGAGCAATTATTTCTGTCTTACAATTCGATATTTATTGTACATAATGAAAAATAAGTTCTTCTATAAGACAGAGAAGTTTGATTAATAAATCAACATGTTATAGTGAGTTACATTGAATTTTTTATCTAAATTTAGACAATTAAATTTGAACTAATCTATTTAAACAAATATTTAATCTCCTCCAACAAGTTAACAACTTGAAATAAAAAGTTATAGTAAATCATTTTTCTTTATCACATAACTTCAATCTATTTTTGTATATACTAGTGCGTAAATGTTTTTTGTTAAGAATTCTTCGAAAAGACGAACATGAGTAATACACTGAGTAGTTAACTTTAGCCTATGAGAATACGAATAAGATTCATATATGTAAAATTTCTCGAGTACTTATTCTGGTAGATTGTACACTTTTGATTAGTATTTTCACCAGAGTGCACTACTGAATTAGCCATTATTAGGATTCATACTTTCAAATTGTATAGAACTTATTTGTATCATGCGTTCATCAATGAAATGTTGCAGGAGAAAAAAGAAGGACTTTGAAAATAAGTCCACATTTTGTATATAATGTAGAATAATGATATAAAATATCAATCTCTATATATTTCTTTAGTAAACATGGGTTGGAACAATAGGTTTTATTTTTATCAGCTGATAAGAAACTTTTTCTTCTTTCGAACTATATAACATTTAATTTTGTTCTACATTCACAAAAAGAAATGATACGAGAAGAAAAAGAAACACTTGCACAATAAATTTTCAATTTTGATATTTATTCATTAAATAAATTGTGTAAAACAATAGTTCGTTATTTTATACAGCAAGGTATTCCAAGAAGGAGTGATCGTCCAGTAAAATTTTCTAATCAAAAATTAAAACGACCAGTAAAATCTGTTAATAACCGTTGTAGTATCATTCAACGTATCTCAATAAAAAAAAAAGACCCAAGAAAAAGAAAAACTGCGAAAAATTATAGAAAATGATTTCTCGTACTTGTAATGTTATTTTAGACGACGAAAAATAATTATCACAAAATTAAATTATACACAATTCGAAAGAAGAGCAAGTTTCTTATCAGCTGATAAAAAAAAGAAGCTATTGTTCCAATACGTATTTACTAAAGAGATATACGGGTTGATATTTTGTATCATTATTCTAAATTATATGAAAAGTATGAAATTATTTTGAGAGTGCTTCTTTTTTTCTGTTGCGACATTTCATTTCTGCACGTATAGTAAAAGTGTTCTACATGGTTCGAAAGAGAAAAAATTCTCTATCTTCTGATACACAAAGTTTTTTTTGTCATCACCTTTCTTTTGAAGACAAGATGGGCTCGACATTTGTCCTAATGCTTTTGCATCATATGTTATGTATTAAAGAAAAACGAATTAAAAAAAAACATATCTTTGTTTTTTTTTCCTTTAAACAAAATATCTATCGCATATGAAAAAAAACGATCGTAAGCGAAAAATACATTTGTTCTTTTCTCCTGTTTTCCGCTCAAAAAATGACATATCATTGTCTTGCAAACGAAGTGTCATTCTATTCAGCAAAGTGTACTACATACATTCTGCTGTTCTGTATATTTGCCATTCAGCGTACGGACAAATTTTCATGTAACACCAGTAAGTCTAAAAGAATTCAGGTTCTATTGTCTTTCTACAACGAGCTCTGAGATGAATATTGTTTTAGACTACACAAACTCTGACACCCGCTTACACTACTATAAGAAGCTCGTCAGTTTAAATCCGATAGACCCTAGTGCTGTGCGAATCATTATGTCTATAGGGCCTTTGTAGCCTGAAGAAGAATTCTGTTATCTTCAAAATCAACACGAATAACTCTTTAGAGCTTTCTTTTGTTTGTATTTGATTAAAAGATTTAAGATCAAAAATTTTTCATATAAAATTGTTAAAAAGAAAAGTTATTCTATTTCAGTTTGACTATAGTGCAATGTAGACGAAAAACAATAATATTATCACTTTATAGTTCAATATAAATTGTTATTTATGATATATCTAAATCAAAATATTGTTTAATTCAATGTTTTCATATACAATTATGATCGATTGTTATCAATTTAAAATATCACTATAAGAAATCTATAGATTCTATTTTACAATATTTTATATTTGAGATTAAATATTTAAATAAAAGAAAATCTTTCGACTTCCCAACAAACTAAATATTTATTAATCATAAAGATATACACACTAAAAAAGAAAAAGAAAAGGATCAAACACCAAAAAAAAAAACAAATCGTCAAGTTTCTTTTTTTGTCTTTGAAATTATTTAACTTGATACTTTTATTGGACCAAGTGGTGATGTATTTTCATCTACTTTTTGTTTCGAGAAACCTCGTTTTATTTCATATACTGTTGTTCTTGGTACCATTGTAATACAATCAATTATTGGACATACAGATGTACATAATGTACAACCAGTACAATCTTCAGTTATATATGGAATATGTGTTATAGGATCAAATATTATTGCTTGATAACCTGAATCATTACATGTCATATAACATTTTCCACAATTAACACATAAATCCTAAAAATATAGAGAAAAGATATTTATTTTCGTTTGAAAAATAATTTTTTTTTTATCGTACATCATCAATAATAGCAACAGCTGGTTCACGTGGATCTAATTGTTTAAATTCAACCATTTTATTAACTGCCATACCACGAACATCTACTAAACGTGGTACTTCTTTTTGAGATTGTCGTGCTGGACGAACTTGTTCAGGTAGAAATTGTTCATCAAGTATATCAGCTTCTTGAAGATATTTTTGTGTTATTTCATCACGTTGTTGTTTATATTCACCAAATGCAGGTAATTTCTATTTTTGAAAAAACAAATGAAATAAATAAATAAATAAATAAATAAATAAATAAATAAACTTACTGAACCGATAAGATCTTTAACAAGAATTGTTTTACCCTTATATTGTTTTGGTGTTGGAGGTGATTGACCTTCCCATCCATCTAAATCGAGTGATTTCAAATAAAGTAATGCTTGTAAACCAGTTATATAATCATCAATTAATGTAAAATCTTGATTTTGTACTGCACTACAAACCTATTTAAATAAAATATCGATTACAAAACAAACAAACAAACAAACAAACAACTATTTATTCATACTTGAAGAGCAGATGCACCAGCATATAGAAATTGCATACCGGCATCAGCTGAATCAATACCACCTAGAATAATATTGATTTTAATTAAATAAAAACTCGTTCTGTTTTTTTTTTCTTCTTTTGTTTATTTACCAGTTGCAAGAATTGGATATCCAGGAAAAGCTCGTCTATAAAACATAAAAGTTAATTAAAAATTTTTCGAAAAGAACAAAAAACTATTTTTAAACTAACGCTATTGCAGAAACAGCTCTTAAAGCAATTGGTCGAATAGCATTGCCGGAAACACCACCATATGTTGTGAATTGATTTTTTCCTACACTTGGCCATGCTGATCCATCATGTCTTATACTCATAAGACCACTAACTGTATTCGTTGCTGTAACACCATCAGCTCCACCTATTTAAAATTAATTAAAACATTGATTTTTGTTTTTTTTGTTTTTTTTGTAAATTGAATATATTGACTAACCGTCTTTTGCTGCTTGAGCAATCTCAACAATATTAGTTATATTTGGAGTCATTTTAGCAAAAAATGGAATTTTTATAGCAGCTCGAACCCATTTACAAATATTAAGAACGAGTTCAGGCTTTTGACCACAGGCTAAACCCATACCTTTTTCACCTATTAAGACACGAATAAATGTTATTGAGTTTTTGTTTTTTTATGTGAAAATTTTGTTACAAACCCATTCCATGTGGACATGAAAGATTGAGCTAAAAAAAAGAACAAAAACATTAAAATCGATTTGAATAAATTGAAAACTATAAAGTTTTTTGTTTTTTTATTACAAACCTCTAATGCATCTGCACCTGCTTCTTCAGTTAATTTTGCCAATTCTGTCCAATCTTGTTCATTAAAACTACACATAATTGATGCAATTATAACCTATTGATATATATTTTTGGTTGTTTTTTTTTAATACATAAAAAAAAACGAGAAATAGTTTTACTCGATCAGGAAAATCTTTTTTTAATTCTCTTATACAAAGAAGCCAATATTCAGTTGTTTTCTCCGAAATAAGTTCAATATTTATAAATGAACCTTGTCCTGGTCCATACATATGACCTGATGTTGTACCACGAGCCATACGTGGACTTACATTTGTAATAATATCTTTCTCAAGACAAAATGTTTTTGTTACAACAAAACCCCAACCAGCTTCAAAACATCGTCGAATCATTGGACCTGATGTTACAGGTGGTGCACTAGCTAAAATTAAATTAAATTAAATTAAAACATAGAAAATTTTAATAACAATAGATATTACCAAGTCCAAATGGATTTGGAAATTTGATACCACAAATTTCAATACTAACATCAACTTTATCAATTGCTGTATAGAATTTTGGTAATTGTGGTACAAGTGGAATATTTTCATCACCCTATGCAACAAAAAACAAAAAATCAATCATAAAAAGAAATATTTGATTTACAAAAAAAAAGAAGAAGAAATTATTTTGATTTGGACAGAGTCTCAAACTTTGAGATAGGTTGAATGCTAGGACATATTTCTGTTTTAGAGTAAACTACTTATAGAAAAACACTTCACATCAAGCGAAGAACTTTTGAAAGTGTTTAGAAACAATAATATCAATAATTTATTGAAAGATTTATATAGTATAAAGTAAGTCTCCAAAATAAAAGACCATGGTCTTCTATTCCGGGCTAGGCTTTTACTAACATTTACCTAGAAAATCAAAGACTTTTTAAAACTCTTCTGATACTCTCCCAGGACTTCTATTGTATCCCAGACAACTTCAGTTTTTTCTTAGAAAAGCTTCGCAGATGCTATCAAGTTACTGTTGGTCAGGTGTCGTCTACGTATAAAACATGTCTTTTCAGATGGAAAATACTCATAATTAAAAATAAACTTTAGAAATCATTTTCATTTTTCGTGAATGTGTGAAATCAGAGTCACTATGGGCTCTCTGTAACTGTCACTTTGTCGAAGAACAAGTATTTAAGCATCATCACAGATTAACAAATTCATATTTCTTCGATTTGTTATATTATGATATGGTGTGGGTGTGTCTTCTCTTCGATAACACCCACATCCACTGGATTTCAGAAAAAGGTATTTGAAAAGTTCATGGCCTTATATTACGCTTTGTAAAATTTTTTTTATGAGTGATCTCCTAATATAGCATGATCTTTTATCCTGAGGGAAGAGATTAGTTGTAACTCTCAGTGTAATATACTGAAAAAGAAGAATTTTATTTTTTTCATGTGAACAAATACAGACAATTCTTATTTTTATTATACGGTAAAATTAACATATTAAACGCGTCTAGAGAATTATGTAAATTCTTCTTATATTCATTTTACTATTTTCCAATGCTTTAAATTTTTCTTCATATTGTCGGAAACTCAAAAAAAGAAAATATTCGCAATTAAAATATGTTTATTTATCATACTTGAATAAATCTATGCACATGCCAAGCAGCTGTTTTTCCATCATTAACACTTTCAACTGTTGTACTAGCTACGTTAGCTATATCACCACCACAAAATACACCCGGTACACTTGTTGACATTGTTTTTAAATCAACAACAGGATAATTATATTTATCTAATTTTACAGGTTCAAGTGCTTGAATGACTATTTATTTAAACAAAAAAAAACAAAGAATTTTGTTAATAAAATGAAAAATATCTAAGAATAAATAACCTGGAAGTTCACTTAATGTTGAACCAAATGCTGAAATAACATAACTACATTTTAAACGTATTATTTGTTCTGGATCTTCAATCCAGGTACCTAGAATAAGAAAATAAATTTAGTAAAAAAAACAAAAAACAAATAAAACAATAATAATAAGAAAAAAGAACCTGCTTCTGTTTGTTCAGTTTTAACAAATTCCATTGATATTATTTTTCCATTTTTGATAATAACTTGTTTTGGTGAACAAAATGGTATAAATTCACATCGTTCTTCAGCTGCAACATCAGCCTATTTTTGTAAATTTACAATTATATTTAAAGAATAATCAATGTGATTATATTTACTTCTTCTGGTACAGCACGCATTTGATTAAATCCTTTTCGAAAACAAACAAATACTTTTTTGGCACCACAACGTATAGCTGATGTTGCACAATCCATAGCTGTATCACCAGCACCAAGTACAACTACATTACCAGTAAAAATAGGTAATGCAGATTTACATGCACACATTCCTATTGAAAATGAAAACAAATTTAAAACTTTTTTTTTTGTTTTTTTTTTACTCTTTACCTGCTTTACTGGATCTTGCAACAATTGGTAAGAAATTTTTTGAAGTATAAAAACCTTCATTTGTAGTTAAATCTTGAAATATTGGATCAATATTTGGATTTGGAAGACCAATACCAACAAAAATTGCTTTATATCCATGTTCATCAAATAATTTTTTTATTGTTAAACCATCTTTTTCAATTGTCAATGGTTTATTAGATATAATTTTTACACCTAAATCTTTCATAAGTTCAATTTCAAAATTAACAGTATCATATGGTAAACGATATTGTGGAATTTCTGCTGAACTAAGACCACCTAAATAATCATATTTTTCATATATTGTTAAATCTTTATAACCAAGTCGAGCAAGAAATGTTCCACATGATATTGATGCTGGACCACAACCAATCAATGCTATTTTACTTGAATATTTATCATTAAGTATTTTGCCATCTTCACATGGATCACGAATTGCTGGAATATGCATTGCTTTAAAAATCTAGATTAAATATATGAAAAAAAAAAAGAACAAATTAAATTCGATTGAAAATATTATTAGATTTTGTTTTTTTTTGTTTTTTTTACATCAACAGCAAACTGTTGTAAACCACCAATATTAATAGGACCTTCTTCACTAGCATATAAATTACATCCACCGACACAAAGATCACTTGTTGGACAGACCATTCCTTGTAGTTAAAAAAACAAAAATAACAAAATAAGAGAAAAAAATATATATAATGAACAATAGACATACCACATGTTAAACCTAATGGATTATCGGATAGAATTGCTTTAGCAGCTCCATAATAGTTTTTATTTGAAATTGATGTTATAAATGATTTTATATCAATTGATGTTGGACATGATTTTTGACATGGCGCATCAGCTAAACATATCAGGCGGAAAAAAAAAAATAAATCCTGCATCTTTTTTTGTCCGATCTTTTCTTACCGCATTTGAGACACCTGGATAAAGAAAAAAAAAA